GCACAAAAAGACATTGAGTCACATATTTAGAAGGAAGCTAAAGTAATTTATGATTGGTCATAATTATGCTGATCAAAGCTGTTTAAATATTTAAACAGCTTTGATTGAGGTACATTTTAAACATTTGGACTGAAAACATCCAGAACAATCTTCGGCTTCTACTTTCTGTTTCTTCATATCTGGCGCCATCTTCTGTTATTAAAGAGCAATAGACTCCGGGTGCCACCTAGAGCTGGAATCAATTCAGTGTTGATTCAAAAGATCCCTTCAACTTCTCAAAGTAGCTTCGGCTTAAATGAAAATTGGGAAAAAGGGAACAGAATGAAAAATAATAAATGGTAAAGTATTGATGGAGAGTGAAAGCACAGTCAAAACACAGAGCAGTGTTGGCAGGAAGCTGGCAGGTCATGTTGTTCGATCAGTGACCACAGAGCAGCCTGAACCCTTTCCTGCACATCCATCGTGTTTCTGTCCCTCTAACTGTTTCATTCTTGTCTTACCTTTCCGGATGCTCTCTTCGATTTCGTGGTCGAAGGCCAGCCGATGGCATTTCCTCCACAGCCCCATGTTGGTGGAGTTATACTGCCTACTACATTCATCTGCGGCGCTCATGGCGAACAGCTGCCGTCTGTTCCGGGCCAGAAGCAGCTTCTCTTGCCAGCGGGACACGCTGCTCCGGCTGGCCCGCAGCGGTAGGCTGTTGTTGGGGATGTAGATGAAGCCCGGGTCCTTGCGGCGGCTGGAAAAGCTTCGGCACCGCTCCCTGTACCGTCTGGCGTCTGTCTCGTACCAGTGGTCGGAGCACATCGCCACGGCCAGCATGCCCAGGGCGCAAAGAGAAAGAGAGAGGCCGGCGTAGAGCAGCAACTTCCCGGCAGCCATGCTCGGTTCTGTCACAGCCGCATCAGCACCTCGACAGACGGACAGCTCCTCTGCGGCTTCCCCACCGCTTCAACTCACATCACCTCTGGAGCGCAGCGTCGGGACCATCCTCCGGGTGACCTTTATGTACAAACGGAAGGCGAACCTTTCCGGCGGCACAGTCTGCAGACAAATACGTTTAATCCCCGGACGCGGAGGTTTTCGGTGATAAAGTGCCCACGTCCGTCCTGCTGTAGATTCGTGAGGCAAAAGTTGAGCTTTGTGG